AAAAACCCATGAAAATTTCATTGTTTTCCTATTTTAATTTTCTGATGAATCTTAATTTTCCACTTAATGATTGAATGATTGAGTTCTAAAATATCTGTAAAAAATACTTGAGCTTTAACAACTTTAAAAAAAATACTGCAATAACAATCATAAATATGAATGCTGGTCATTATTTTAAGAAGTAAGGGGGTACAAATTAAAATATTTGAAATTAACTACTTTTTACATTTCACTGAAAGATGCTAAACATTTCTTTCTTCCCATCTTTCTTTCTTTTTTTCAAAATGGAATGATCCATTATTTATAAGGTATTGACAAAGTGTAATGGTCATACTAAGGTAGCGACAAGCAGAATTATAATAAGATCTTGATTTTAATGCTATGCATTCTAAATATGTAATGTTTAATGATTTAACACCAATAAGAATGGAATCATACAACTATAAAAACAAGAAAAGACATAAGGATGTTATCAACTCAATGTCTCTTTCTTTTTACTGTATCCACCATTCAAGGAAAAACATTCTGGTTGACCTAATTTTTTACTTCCAACACAATATCACAAATTCTTTTCTGATGAAATATGCACAGTTTATATTTTAAATTATTTTTGTCTATCATTATGATTGATTATAACATATTTTTGCAGTTTAGTTGGATATCTTAGCAAAGTATGTCACCACTTTGTGACAAGGATATTTGAGGAAGTGGGTATTTCTGGTGTTACATACATACCATAAATCTATATCTAGTCTGGTTTGGCTGATATATATATATATATGTGTGTGTGTGTGTGTGTGTGTGTGTGTGTGTGTGTGTGTGTGTGTGAGTGTATAAAGACAAGGCAAATGCAAGGATTTTATTTTGCAACAAGTATCTATATACAAGAGCAAAAATGTTATAGGTTTTTCAAAATTTTTAAGTTTAGGAATGCTCATAAATATTCATCAGGTTGGCTGAAAAGTCAGGCAAGCTAAGGAGGACATGATGTGACACAATAATAAATGAAAGTAAGTGAGGTTTTTGATTTTTTTTAGGCAAATTACTATTTAAATTATTTTAGTTTGGGATTAATCTATTTTGAATAATAGGAAGTAAAGGATTTAACCATTTTCTTTCAATTTTTTATCATTCTTGTAGTCATGTGTCTTGGTTTGTGAAAGTAGTAATTCTTTCTGTAATGTAGATATTAGAAAAAAATGCAAAGTGCAGATTTATATTTTGATAAGATTCAATAGTGGCACTCACAAGAATTTCCCTTTTAAGTTTCCCCAATGTATTATGAGGAACAGTTTTGGCATTTATTTTATATATACTGCGTGCCAAATTACTGATATTTGTTATCAGCACAGTGATTTGAGCATGCCAAATTATTAGAAAAGTGTAAGAATTTAGTGAAAAGATGGGCCATAAAAGCAATTTAAGTGATGCTGAAAAGAAAACTATCACCTCAGAACTCTCAAAAGGTAAATCTACCCTTGAAATTTCTAAAATGATAGGGAGGTGGCACCAAACAGTGAAAAAGTTCACTGCTGACCCTACACAAGTGCGCAAAAGGGCAGATAAGGACAAGCCAAGGGTTATTTCACGTTGTTTCATGTCACGACTTAAATGAGAGGCCACGAAGAACCCTGGACTTACCAGTCAAGAGCTTTTCAGTCGCATTGGGGATCCTACTGTGTCGAAAAGTACTCATGTCTGTTGATGAGAAATCCCATTCAAAATTGATTGAAATGGGCCGAGGACAATATGAAGATTGACTTCTCTGAAGTTTTTTTCACAGATGAAACTCGAGCAACACTTGATGGGCCAGATAAATGGTGCAAAGGCTGGGTAATGAACAGATAGAATTGCCATCAGCATTTAAGACGCCAACAAAGCGGTGGAGGCATAATGATCTGGGGTGGTATTATTGGAAAAACATTAATGGGCCCCTGGAGAGTACCAGATGGCGTCAAAATGACTGCTGATTCATACATAGTGTTTATGAAGGAGCATCTTGAACTGTGGATGAAAAGGCAAAGAGTTGCCTTCAGAAGGGCCATTGTTTTTATGCAAGATAACGCTCCCTCAAATGCTGCTCACAAGACTACTGAATATTTGAAAGTTAGACTTCAATGGACCTTGAAAAATGAAGTGGCCAGCAAATTCTCCGGATTTGAACCCAATCGAAAACCTTTGGAGCATCATGAAGCAAAGACTGTACGCCAACAGATGACAATTCAGGAGCAACGCTGAGTTGTGGGAAGCAATTCTTGACGTATCTCGCGGCATTACAGCAGATGACACCCTACAATTAACAAATTCTATGGATCGTTGACTTCTTCAAGTAATTTCAAAATGGAAAGCACATTCCCTATTAATTTGCTTAAAACTGTGCCTTTGTTTGCATCTGTTATTATTTGTTTGATTATTTTATTCATTAGCTTCTTTTGATGATAAACATTCACGTGCAACATTAATGAACGTTTTGTTTGCTCAATTTTGGAAATTTTACTAAACTGTTCTAATAATTTGGCATGCTCAAATCACTGTGCTGATAACAAATATGGTACCAGTTTGTTTACATTGTGCAGATCAGTACGAAGATTTTAGTGATTGCGCAGGTCAGTGTTGCCAACATTGTGTGAAAATTTTGTGTGAATTGATTGGACGGTTTTTGAAATATTAGAAAAAAGTTATCTCGATAATAATTTGGCACGCAGTGTATACCTGCTTCAGAATTATTATTGTAATGGGTATTTTTGGTTCTGGTTATACCCATAATAGTTTTGGATGTGGTTGTAATTATTTTGATATTGGTTAGATTGGATAATATATATATATATATATATATATATATATATATTGTTTAGATTGGATATATATATATACACACAAGAATAATAGTGGCCAAATAGAAAAAAACTTATTAATAATGCATTCATTCCAAGAAGGAACTTCTTCAGATAATGGTTTTGTTGATGGGATCAATCTTATATATAAAAAACGGAAAAACATATTTCACCTCTGACCTTGACACCCACCCAATCTGTCAATAAAACCCAATATTTGTCTGAAGAAGTTCTTTTTGGAAGTAAACATACCACTAAGAAAATTTTGATGCCTCATTTGATGTGCCACATACATATATATATATATATATATATATATATATATATATATATATATATATATATACATATAAAAAATTTAAATCATAAATAATTGTATGAGGTATTTATTATATTAAAGCCATAAGTAAATATTTCTTCAATAGCATTAAAAAGAAATTGTAGAAATTGTTAAAGTGTGTCTACAATAAGGTAAAATTTACAACTTTAATAATCAGTAGGCAAATAAAGTTCTATTTCATTCTGATTTTTGCAGGTTTTGTCCATGGTGCAATAGCCAAGAAAAAACTGGGATTATTTATTGAAGATATCAGTCTCCCCAAATCAGACGATTTTGGTGTTCAGAGATGCAATGAAGTAACAGCTTTTTTACTTTTGAAATTACAAATTTTCTAACATTTATTATTGAAAATTGAAAAAAATTAATTCTTAAATATCATGGTAATATTTAAAGTCTACAAAAAGATGGTTTATTTATTCTTGGTGATTTTCTTCTATAAAATGTAAATTCCTTAAATCAGGAAGAATCAGCAAAAGAATATGGCTAAATATTATAAATTTAATTTGACAATGAAGTGATATTGGTATCTAACTATTCATGCCTCATTAATAGTTAGATACCAATACCGTTTCAGTTTCATAAAGTGTATTGACTGAGCATTTTTACATATCTGCCATTGTTTAGTTTTCAACACAAAGAAACAAAAGCAGAAAGAATAAGAAAAATCAAAATTAAATTAAACAAGCAACTAATTCTGACTGGTATATTTATTGTATACTGAAGCTGCCCAGAGGCTCTTGTCAAAATCGTTTGAATCAGTTTGAACACAACCTGTAAAACAGAACATATGTACTTCTCATATAAAGAAACTGTACTGATTAACTTTGCCCATGGCTGGTTAAAATCATGACAGCTTATCCAGCTTTCTTGCATATTTTTTTTCATTCAAGATTTCATTTCAGGCCCTTTTATATACTTGAAGCCTCAAAATGCAAAAGTTCTTTCAACAAGTTTTTATGATTTGTTGATGAGTTATTTCTGATATTTGATTCTAAATAAAATTCCGCTGTAGGATTGCTCAAGTGGAAATTACCTGACTTGAATCAGATTTGTGTTTAACGATAATGATAATATTTTATTGGATTCTTGAAGATTAACTATTATTGAGAAAATTGATATATACATCTAATCATGATTTGAAACTGACAGAAACGAGTTTTATTTTTTTTCAATTTTTAGACAGTGTGACTTTTTTTTTTTTTTTTTATTTCTAAATCAGATAATTGCCAAAAAAAGAAACAGCCAAGTTGTCTAAACACTAACCCATTTTACCTAAAGTTCTCAACTCATTCTTTTTCATAAATTATTTTAATTTTCATTGTTACAATCATAATTACTATATTTCAATAATAAGCACATGGAACAAATTTCTGCAGATGCGTACTTAAAATTATATTTAATTTACTGTAGTTTCCTTCTAACCAAATTTGTAATAATTCAACATGTAATTTTCATAGAAGAGAGAAGACAATATAATTATTTGAATTACAAGAAGACATAAAGTGAAAATGGTGAGAATGATGTTGCTTATGTTGCCTCAAATATTTGTCTTGTGTTTAGAGCAGATTAAGAATGAATCCATAAGTACCAGAATTTTCATATTGAAATGCAGTTGTACTTGTCTCTGATATCCTTTCATCCATGTTTCTTTTTTTGTAGCTCCTTCGCCAAGTAGTTGGGGAAAAAATAATCTACAATCTAAAACGTCCATTTGAAATAAAATGCATTGAAGGATTGAGTGTCATGGCTGAACTCACAATGTCTGGAATCAATTTAGAAAATTGTCATCCGAGATTATTGGCAAGTTTTATTTATTGATATGAATAAATCGTAAAATCATTTGAATGAATTAATATAGATGTTTTCATGGGCCATTCCTATATAAATGTTGTGTAAAGCATTTATATCTGTACAGGATTTTATGCATTAATATCACAAGCCAATGAGAGTAGTTTTATGCCAGAGTTTGTTTAAATTTACAATATCTTTCAAATACTACATTATTCCTTTGCATATTTGACTAGATCTCTTTAAGGCTTTTTATGATCAAAATTTCTTTCTAACAGGCAATATTTTTAACAAAATTTCTGAATTCACAATTATTTTAAATACCATTATACATATAATATTTCATAAATGTATATGTTATGTTTCATTAAGAATTGCTGGCCATTGTTTATTTGTCTATTTTTTATGATCTTTTGATAATGTATAGATTTTTAATGTATAAATGCTTCAGATGGTTAAAAAATTGGATCAAGGAATTTCTTGAAACATTTTCTTTATTCTATTGTTATATATTACTTCTTCTTTTGATATTTCATTGCTTTTGTCTCATTTTTATTCACAGCGCCATTTTTCCATTTTCAATCTTCCGCTACCAAATGAAAATGATCTTGTTGCAATTATCAGCAAGAAACTTGAGGTATTCTACTTTCATTACAAAGCATTCATACATAAATTACTTATCAAAATACAGAAATAATAGGATAAACATAAAGGATCATATTATTGTTTCATGATCATTAATAAACAACATGATTCAGAAATGAAGATTAAGCCTCACATGAGATTGAAATATGCATAACTGAATACAACATATGATAAATGATTAAATGTGATGCTGTGAAAGATTCAGTGATGGCAAAATTTTATTTTTTAAAGATACACTATGCTGATACTATGTAAGATAAATAAGTTTATATGATTTGATGAAGATCTGAACATGAGCTGTCTTATCAGAGATGTGGTTGAACAGTATTTTTTGAAGGTGTGAGTATTTTCATTCCATGAATGATTCATATACATATCTTTATTTCAATAACAACGTTTTTCCTATTATACTTTGTAATCTTCTATTATTGCATGTTGCATTCAGTCACTTTAATAGAAACTTGAATAGAGCCATTTATTTGGTTTTCAACCATTTTCTCTTAATTTTTATTATTCTAATTAAGCAGATAAATCTGAGCAATAAAGATTCATGCTAGACATGAGTTTTTTTTTCTTTTTAATTGGTTATAACATATATAGCTGAGTAAGGATGAATTGAATCCAGAGAGCACACCAGGTAAAAAATGTTATGGTTGAAAATACAAGTCTATGTACTTCATTGAATAATAGTTGAACAGATGGAATTAGAAAATACTCATATCTTCTATCTGTTCTGAATTCCATAATTTAAAATTCCTTAAATCTTTGATTCTCATCACACAAAATTTCTCAATGTTCATATGTTTTTTAAAGATTATTTTTTAACATTGTATTAATTCTGTTTTTAGTGTGTGTTTAATCTAGAAGAGCAACCAGCAATTGATGGTGTCTTATTTGATGGGATTGTGGATGCATCATGTCAGTTGCTGCTTCGTGTTCAGGCCATTCTCAGTCAGTCCCCTTTACCTGGACGCCAACATTACATCTTTACTTTGCACAATATACAACATTGCTTTCAGGTGAATGACTTCACATACATTTAATGTTTATATATTTACAAGCATTTCTAAATTTGTTCTTTATTTCTTTTCACTGGAAAAATATAAAATAAATATCAAAGAAAAATGCAGCTTTCCTTTCCAGATTTTCAAACTCCCTTTTGTGACAAATCAATTTTCTAATTTTCAAATTAGCTCTTGATGATAATCAATTCAATGTTCATTTCCTTTTTTTTTCTTTATAATATTAATTGGCTTATCTTTTCTAATGATCTTTTTAATCTTTTACTATCCACTATATAATATTAATACAAACTAATCCACCTTTATGCTTTTTATTCACTTGACCTATTTAAGTTGTGGCATAAAAATAAAACCTAATAAAATATAAAGTTAGGTTTCCTGAATAATTTGAAAGTGAAGCTTGGAAGATTGATATTAGAATACTAACAGTTTGGGAAGTCTACATACGAAGGAGATAAAAACATAAGTAGAAGGATCCAGTGATCAATGAAGTAGTGAATAAGGGTTGATTTGTGCCCCTCCCCCCAATCAAACCTTATTCAGATTACAAAGTATAGATATGGGAATGAGAGAGAAAAAAGCTTAGTGTTAAATATCACTGAATAAGAAATATGGAATTTCCTATACCTGAGAAGCACTCTCTTGGTTTCAATCAATAAATCAAATTCTATAACTTGACAGTATAACATTATCTGCTACAATTGAATCAGTGGTTTCATGGAAGTGAACATTTCCATCTGTGATGACCTATAAGAAATGCCTTTATATCTATAACTGGCAAATATGGAACAGATCCAAAAACACAATTAAAAAAATGCAATTAGCCAATCATATGATTTTATTATTTTTTTAGCTTAAGAAACTGTTGATCTTGGTTCACTAACTGCTGTTTATTAACATCTTTTTCTCTTTTCAGTCTAATCACTCATTTCTAACATACAACAATACTTTTCTATTACTATCATTTGAGCTGGCTTGTAAGATTTAATAGATTATCTGTTGAGGATTACTTCATTTAAACTCTTTTGTAGGTACAAATAACCACATTTTGGATCCACAATTGATCAATAACCTCTAGAATAATTTAAAACAACAGTTACTGCCTACCCAATAACCATTAGGATAATACAATAGACCTTGCTACCCATAATGCACCATTGACTACCATATATAAATGGTCTGAAGATTCTGTTTAAGCATGAAACAGACTGTCACCGCTTGGTGTTGACCTCAGTATCCACTTTTATATTTACATATGCTCTTTCTCTGATATTAAGTACTTTTACCCATAAATATAGCATACTTATAACTATATTTTTATTATACATATATATATATATATATATATATATATATATATATATAATGTGTGTGTGTTTGTGTGTGTGTGTAACAGTGGCCTTACCATTAACAAGAAAAAAAGAGGAAGTGACAAAACAAATGGAGATAAGACATGGTTGAGATAAATAAAAGGCTTTATATTTTCTGATTTACAAGGTTCAATCATTTACTTGTTCTGGGGTGTTGTAAAAAAACTGCAAAAACTCATGTGGGCCTTTTCTGATTGGTCAGAAAAGATGTTTTATGACCCTGGTATTTTTTCCAAAAGTGGATGTGCAGAACTGGACAAAAGCAAGGTCTGTTTTTGTCATATGAACTGTGGATTTCAAAGTGAACATTTCTGTTCACACTAAACAGTTGGAATTCCAACAGTGCACAACATATATATCCTACTACATTAAATGTTATTTTGTGGATACCCATGTTCAAATAGACACCTTGTTTTTTTTTAAATTGTGTGAACTACATCTACTGGTCTGCACATTCAAGAGATTTAATAAAGAAAATGTGCTCTCTAGCAGAGTTTGAACTTGCATCCCTCTTTGAAGGAGAAAACTACCATCTGATCCATCATGCTTTAGACTGCTCAACAGCAGAGAGAGCCACAACCCAGCAAGGTACACTTACTCTTTTTGACAAACCATGCTGGGCTGTGGCCAAGCAATCTAAAGCATTCTAGATCAGAAAGTAGATTCTCTGACAAAGAGGAATGCATTTGAACCCTGCTGAAGAGCACTTTCCTTTATTAAATGTGCAGATTGATAGATGTAATTCACACGGTTAAAAAAAACAAAAAAAAAACACAAAAAAAAAATAAGGTACCTACTCAAACATTGATATCCACAAAATAATGTTTAAAGTATTAAGAAATAATGTCACATAAGGGAAACATTAATTCCTTATATATATATATATATATATATATATATAAAATCAATTCACCCAGTTAAGGCAATAATGCCACTAAGAGGCAAGAGGCTACTGGAGTAAAACAGAATGGAAAATATATTAGAAGTCTTTCATATGTGTGTGTATATATATATATATATATATATATATACACACATGTGTGTATGGATTTGAAAATGATGGAATGCATTTTTTTAAAGGAACATTTTCCATCCAATACTTTTTCAGAAAGAACAACAATAATCAAACGGTGAAACTGGAAAAGGTAAACACAGGGTGCAAATAAGGAGCTATGACTTAAATATATTTTATTGCTACAAACAACAAATCTGTGTAAATAACAAATCTTTGAAAAAGGTTCCTTTAAAAAATGCATTCCATCATTTTCAAAGCCATATATAAATTCAGTGGTACAAAGTTTTTGTTTATATATATATATATATATATATATATATATATATAATGAAAAGTTTAATAAAAAAAATTGATAGACAGAACTTTATTATTTAACCAAACATATTTGAAAGAATTATTGCAATTGACATACACATTATATATATATATATATATATATATATATATATATATATATATATATATATATATATGTATATATATATAACAGACAAACCTCTAAATTGAACTTTTTTGGAAAAGCTGTTGAATTCTATCTTAGCTCAGGTGAGTATGAATGGTTATTAAAGAATCAAGAGATTTTTATATTTATATATATTACACCATTTATGTACACACAAATCATTATTTTTGTTTACTTATGTTTGCATGCAAAAACCTAAGTTTTAATTTTTCTATTATGTTTTATAATACAGTCAAAATACTGTAAATGTTATCACTGCTAAATATTATTTTCTTAACCTGAACATCTGTTGTATGTAGTTATTTTGGAGACTCTAAAGAGAATCTTGTCTTGTTTTTACCAAAAGATATTTACCAGATTGTCAGCAGGTCAGAGGACAGACAAGAACTTTGTTTTATCTCTTTGGAGACATGAAGTACAAAGAGTGTTTTTTGATTCAGTCAGTCGAACCTCTGATTTGAACTTTTTGGAAAAGCTGTTGAATTCTATCTTAGCTCAGGTGAGTATGAATGGTTATGAATTTCATTGTTTCTTTATTTTGTATTCAACCTTTAATTTTTGACATTCATTTCTCTATGTATAATAATTTCATTTGGGGCTTTTTATTAGAAAAATTAAATAGTTTTATACAATGAATAAATTTTTAGTTAATTGATTATGCTAAGTATATATAATAAAACCCACAAACTCATTATATAGTGATAATTCTGCCAATTAGTGTGCAAATGCCCTTAGAAAAGATATAAATCTATCTCCTCCTCCTCCTCCTGGTTAAATAGTAGGACTTGTATTTGGAAAAATCATTATTATTCTCAAAAATATGTTAGGGTAATATTCACTTGCTAAAAAAGAATTATTTTTATAATCCAAAATATGTTTCAGCTTTAAGTAACCTCCAAATGGTTGATAAATCATAAAAAAACAAATTGATCAATCTGCCAACTTAAGGTCATATCAATCAGTCAGTTATGTACCATGCGTGATACATGCTTAGGCAATCATGTATCGAAAGATACATGACTGACGAGGCAGATTTTTTAACATAGTAGGTTGCCATTTCTTTCTGCAGTAGACCAGTTGCCATCCAAGGCTATAGAACTGCGGGGAGAAGAAAAGGACTCATACCTTTCCCAAAGTGAATGTAATGGATTTGACTGAAATTCGAACTCAGCCCTCTGATTCCTCAATCCGAACCGCTATCCATTACTCCACCGTATTGTCTTTTGTATTCATATGATTCATAGGATGATGTTAATAAAGATGAGGATATTAATGGTTTTTAAATTAAATTTTGATTACATTCTGGTAATTTTTATTTTAATTACTATCATTCTTTTGAATTTTAAAATGATGTAGACAAGGTTTGTGTGTGTGTGTATATATATATATATATATATATATATATATATATATATATAATGGACTCTCCCATTGTATTCAATGTATGAGAGTCAAGCAGTTCAGTTCCTAGGAACTGACAGCCAGACATCAGTACATATTATGTAATTATAGTGGTGAAGGCTTTGTGCAGAACCAACCACCCTTTTTGAAAGGCTAAATACAGAGACCTGGTGCACTATATACCACAAGTTCCCCAAACAACCCTCTGCAGGTTTTGAATTCAGAGTTGTCCTTCTCCTAGACTAGTTGCCATCCAAAGCTATAGAATTCAGTCTCTCCTGCTATTTACCTATAGCTGGAGGGAGAAGAAGAGGATTCATACCTTTCCCAAGGGTATTACCATGTAAGTGAATGTAATGGATTTGACTTAATTTCAAACTCAGCTCTCCAATTCCTCAATCCAACCCACTATCCTCCTATATATATATATATATATATATATATATATATATATATATATATATATATATATATATAATTCATCATATTTTTTATTATTTCAAATGTTATTTTGATAGATACTCATAATTGAGTAAACAATCCATTTTTAAATCGTGTTTATTTCATCTACTGGCCTGTTCACTCAAGAAAACATAATAAAGAAAATGTTTCCCCCAGCAGGAATTGAACCTATATTCCCCTTTGTAAGAGAAACCACTATCTAATCTAGCATGCTTTGACTGTTCGGCTAATATATATATTAAATTCAACTGCAAAACTCTGTCTGTTTACTATTCTATTTTTCCAC